AACTCCTGTTGCAGAGAATCATTTGCAGCATGTTTTTGTGTTCGCCTGTTTTCTGCTGACATGCTTCCCATAGAATCTAATGTACCAGAAAAAGGAGAAAAAATGCAGAAGTTTTTAAGTAAGTCCTAAATCACTTTTCAAAATTTGTATTTGTTCTTTTTCTTAATGTTTGAGAAGCTCACATCTGACTATATTTACCATTGCATCCTGAGCAGCTGTAGAGGGATCTGCATATCCTTCCATCCTTGTTCCCTGGGGGGAAAATAGATAAATTTTCTTCAAAAGTTAAATCCTGAAAGACTGTAGGAATATAAAGTTGCCTCTATGTGAAGCTACGTTTCATTTCTTGAGATAACACGTATGGGCTTTTAGATTGGATTAGTGTATTCAATGGCTGAATTTGCAACTCTAGGAAATATCTTCAAGTTGTCATATTATGTCTTCATTTCCTCTAAGTAGAGGAACTCTAGAATGACAGACGGTCTTGTGAGAGGTAAAAATAGGGGAAGTGGATAAACCTGTCCCGTTACAAATAAGCTTTTACCTTACCGCTACCATCCCACCACCATTTCCGGTATTATGTATGTTATATTGCTTACTCTAGTATGTAACTACGAGGGGAAAAAAAGGATAAGAGTAACATTTGCCATTCTCTGATTATTTCTTATCGATATGCATATTACCAGAAGAATCTTTTCTCATTTTTTTCTCCCTGCACAAACGGTGGGAGCAAGCACATCAAATAACAGAGATTTTGCTTGCTTATAATCATTGTCTAAAATTAAGACCCAAGACTAGGAAATTGTTTGACAACTTTGATACATAAACAACAGAAGAATACTTCTAATTTTCCCATACATTTAATAGTTTTTCAGTTACACAAATCAAGCTGATATGCTTTAGTAAACACGCTATGATCTGAATTAGATAGTTGTTAGAAAAGGAGAAAAGCACACAACTTTTGGAATTGCTTTTTTAACCAAATCGTCTTGTAATGATACAAATCAGCCTTGGTTGCAGAACTCTTAGCAATCTCAGGCAGCATGTAATCACTGCCTTAATGATATGTGTTTGAAGCAATTTACTTTAGTTTAAAATTTACAGTCGTTTTACCCTATATGTGAAAGTGAGCATTAAAATTATGTATTGGTTGTCAACTTGTAGAATGACTGATTTATAGCCCTTTCCTGTTAAAAATGTTAATTTATATTTTAATTAAATTGTAAGAATTTCACACAGTGGAATTCCTAGTAACAAGATAAATTACTTGAAGGAAATTATGCTGGAATGACTGCGTAAAGTTACATATACGAGAAAACACAGGAAAAAAAGACAGACAAGTGAACAAAAACATGAGTTAAATAATACTCTACATGAGTCAAATGCCTGCTTTCCCCAGTAACAGTTAACAGTGACTACTCTTGGCATAGTTTTGCTGGAGAGTCCCACAATATGTATAATTATTTTTTAAATAGTAGAAAATGATCATATTCCAATTAATACCCAAAAAAAGAGAATTAGAATAAAAATCTGTTTGTCTCATACTAGAATATTACTTAGCCTGAATTTGTAACTCTGTTAATTTATTTAGGAAGGACTATAACTTATAACTTCTAATCTGCCTCAGTGTGGACATGAAAACAGTAAATACCACACTATAGCAATGGAATAGTTTGCTCTCCGTATGTGAAGCATATTTACTTCTATCTGTAGTCAGATGTGTGTGTCATCAGTCCCAAGATTTAATAGACATCAAAGCAAAGGGTGTCTGAAAAAAGCATTAAAGGATGCATTGGAAATGTTGCTGTAGAATAATCCTCTGTAAATTGCATGGTACTAGAACTAGAAAGGATATATTTTAATGAAATATCACTGAGTTTTAATGTAAGGCCATATCCAAACATGGATGATTCAACAAACAATCTTCAGAAGTATACAGTATAACTGAGTAAAGCTGGAATTTTCTGCAACTCTTCTTTATCTTGAGAAAAATATCACTTAGATCTTGTTAGCTAAGAAGTTGCTGATTTCAGGCCTCTTTATCAATGTCTGTGGTTTAAGAAAATAAGGGCTAATAATGTAGTCTCAGATAATTTATTTTAAATTTGTTCTTTTGACAAGTAAAATGTCCCATGGTTTTAATAAAGATAAGAAGTGAGGTTGCTTAACCTGTAGCTCTTCATTTTTAAGCAAGGAAGAATTTTCATTATTAGGGGGAAAAACCTCCAACGTTAGAAAAAGATATTTCCTGTTTATAGCTTCTACATTTGAAACATCTGCTTTTTATCTCTGTACCTCAGTGAAGCCTGCTGCTATTTCAAATCTTGGCAAGAAACTCTTTTTCCCCAGATACACATATATAAAAATACAGATATACCTTATGTATGCTATTATCTCCTGGCAGTCATTTTGTCATTATTTGTTACTCTGGTTTACAAAAGATTTTTAAAATAATGAGCACAGTGACTACAATGAGAATGGGAACTCATGATCTGACAAAGATGACCATATTTTGTTGCATAAAGCTACAAATTAGCAAAACTGCAAAAGTTGGTGTGCGATAGTGACGATTCGTTTGCCTGTGTGCAAACATACTGTGATTTAGCATATGCAGCAGCGCAAAGAACATAATGTTTAAAACAGAGAACTGTTTAATACTTTCTTTCATAGTCAAATGTGGATATTTCTCCATTTTTACATAATGCCTAGACTGGATTATGAACCATATATTCTAACAGCGGAGAAAACAGAGCTTTAAAAATGAAAAGCTTATTTGTACATGCAAGTAGACACCTTTTGAGATGAGACAGATTGAGCAGAGGGTCAGCAGTGGAATATCCAGGGACTTACTCAATAAAATAGTCTGTCAACCTTTGCCTCCGTCTGAAAGCCAAAGTCAAAGTCAAAGTAGATGAAAGAATTCAAATTCTCTTCCTTTTCTGTTTTCCCCGCTCTTGTTCAAAAGTGTAGCTCTTGAACTAGCTAGCTTGAACTAGCTTTAACCACAGTCACCTTAAAATTTAAGACTTCTCAAATAGTATCAAAAGTTATTATGAATTTTTTAGAAATGTAAGTCATACTACTTGTTTTTACAGTACCTGAGCAAGGTTCATGAGCGTATCTCTGAAGTGACCTGAAGTCTCAGAATCGATATCTTGTTGAAGATCATTGTTATATTCTAGGTTAAAACAAAAACAAATAATCTAAATCACAAATGAATGTGCTCTGAATAGTACTGATGAAGATTAGCAAGCAAAGGATAAATAAATAGGGTGCAAATACTCATCCATTTTCTATGGTGATTATTCCATAGTAACTCATGCAGGTTCTGCACGGACCTAGCCATGGGACTGGCAGGTCTGCCTGGGCCTTGCTGTGGGGGCTCTGCCCTGCCGGGGGGCCTCAGCCACTGCCCCGGCTCACCTGTCCACCCACCCATGGGCGCAGCCCCACCACTGCTGCTTGCTGTGTGGCGGTGGGATACTTGGAAATGCTCCATCAAGGCAGGTGAGTGGAGTGTCCAGCCTGTGTAAGCACTTTTTGAAGGAAAACAGCTTATGTAGTTTTTTGAATAAAGTGTGCAAAAGTTTCTGAAAATCTCAAAATGTGGCGGCCAGGTATTTCAAACGTCATAGGCAGCAATACATCTCAAAAATACCATGACGTATTTTCAACTTTAAACATTTTGCTTCAGCCTTTTGTATATAGTTATGGGAGAGGAGAGGGAAGGGAACCAGTTAGTATTGAGAAGTCATTTTTGTAAGTTCAGTTCCTTCATGTGTGCTAATACATCCAGAGCACACATAGTACAACTGCTACTGTGCACTTGTAAAAAACATTACGCATTAAGTAGGCTTCTTTCATCTGGAAGATCTCCATATTTGATCTTGAGGCTAATATGTCAATTAGACATTTTTCTTCTGTGTCTACTCCCTGTGTGGAAAGAAATATGAAAAGATGTTGTTAGTAGAAACCACAGCTTTTAGAAGAAAAAAGCAGTGCTGCACTTATCAGAAGTAACAAAACAATAGCAGTCTCTGCTGGAGCAATGCAGAGTGTACTTTTGCATAGTCTACCTGTTTAAATAGAAAATGACTTTGAATTAATAGTAGAACCCTGTATTTCAAATATATTCCTACTTAATCGGAATTTCAGCATGTACATTAACAAGTGGAGAATGAAGCAAGACTAGTGTTGACAGAAACATAATGGGAAGAACTTTAGAGCTTTAGTAAGAATTTGGGATTTGCTGAAAGAAATCAGATGCAAAGGTTGAGCATACATCCCCAGCAAGTGTTCAGGCAATCTGAAGTAGATATAAGCACAACTATTGTGTTGTGCTTTTATCTTTTTTTAAAAAAAATTATTTAGGAATGTTACGGTCTGTAACGTCTACCGTGGAACTTCGTATTTAAGGGAAGCATCATGGCCATGCATGCAGTGCTGCAAATCACTGAATTTTTCTACAGTATTTGAATTAATTTTATAAACTTGAATTGACATAAGATATGCTGTATATGCTGCTTTTGTATAGTGTTGGTGAGTATTCTGCATTTGGGATAATGGGAGAACGTTACATCGAGCCTGAGCCTGGAGACACATATGGCCTGTTTTTCACTTTGGCCATAGGAATCCAGATCAAGATAGAATACTGTAAGAAAGTTTAACTTTGAGCCACATTTGGAAAAAAATATAACTTTGGCAATCTTGTCAATAATTTTTATAAAAGTCATGCTTCCAGTGCTACCAATGATATTTCACAATTCTTTTAATGCCAACTGTAGTTAAAAAGTGCATTGGCTTAAGTGTCTGAAGGACCAGAAAAAAGTGTTAATCTTTTTTTTTTTTTTGAGGGGATTCTCAAAATATGTAAGATAGATCACCTTGCTCAGAGTCGCACAATCTGTGTTTTATTTGTGACAATGGTCACAAGAAAAGGAAAACAGTGTTGAGCTCTGATATGCCTTCCCATCTTCCAGGAATTGGCAATTTAGGAATTTCCTGAGAAGGAATTTGCCAGGGATTATTATTTTCAATAGCCAATAGTGGACCTGTTTTCTAAGAATTTGTTGAAGTCCTTTATGAACTGATTTGTGCTTCTGGCCTCCACAATGCCCTGCGTGAATGAATTTCACCATTTAATTACATGATCTTTGAAAAATTATTTTTGTTTGTTTCAAAACTTCAGTTGTTTAAGGAGCACAGGCTCAGATCCTGGGAAGAAAAGGAAATACTTTCTTCAAAATGTGCAATCAATTCAATTTGAGTGGAATGAGCATTGCTTTGTCACAGAGTAATTTGTAAGTGTTTATGTAAAGACATGTTCTGCTAAAGAAGTAGTGGTCTTTTCAGAGGTGGAGGCTTAGCGCATGGCACTGGCAGTTCAAGTGAATTTTGTTCGTAACATACATAAATGCTTGCAGGATCAGGGCCTTACATTTCCCTGTATAAATATTTCTTCATTTACCAAGTTTACCATGGGTGTTAAATGGGTTGTATTTGTTACATGGCAAGGATATTATTTATGCTGGTTTTAGCATACCAATGAATAAACTTCATATAGCACTGTATTTCTGCTGACATAGTACACTATTCCAGTGTACTAACTTCCAGCAGTTTATCAACCATTTAAATGTAAAAAAAATCAATTTAACATACGTTCAGTACTGTAATTAGTGACTGTGACTCTAAGCAATTCTGAATTTGACAAGTACCTTCAAGGCATGCCAGAGCTCGTGGGCATCATAGGAGGCAGGTGGATACATCAAGCCAACCATGACTTCTTTGAAGTGGTGAGAGAGATTCTCTTTTAGGTCCGTGATCAGATCCTTGAAAAGAAAAAGAAAATGCATAGACAGGATTATTTCAATAGCCGCACTTGAAGATAGCTTGAAAAAAGTATTGGTGCTTTTCTCTGTAAATGAATAAAGATGAACTGTTGAAGATTAATTCTGACTAAAACTAAGTAAGAAAAATATTCTTTTAAATAGTACCTGCTTCTTCTAATAGTATGGGTGAGATGACAATAGACACACAACCAAGTAGACCACATAGGATTGTTGATTTTTGGTTCATTAGAATACAGAAGAAAATTCAGGGGTTTAAGTGCAACTACTACTTGAAGGCTTGGAAACCCGAATACCATGGCAGAGCATCTGCAGCTTCCCTTGGCATATTCCCTGTGTGAATCTGTGGGAGCTAAGCACCTTTGGAAGTCAAATCCCATAGAACACAGGCGATTTCTTGTGCTTTTTTCAGTGTTACTATGTGAATAATTTAAAAAATCATCCGTATTGCTCCTAGTACATAAAAATATCTGCTTTGGATTACTGGAAGGTTATGTGCTTCAATTTATGTATATATTACATTCAAACTGAATTCACTACTTCTGACAGTTGCTGGATTAATATAAAGGAACCCCCCTCTTCCCCCGGTTGTATCTCAGTACTTGCTTGCCAGGTAACTGAGTCATGGATGAGAGTTTCCCCCCCCATGCTCCCCTTTCCCAGTAGCATCCTTGAAAACACTGAGAATGCCAAAAGCTTGTTAGTTATTCTGTTGCTGTTTCTGATTAAGAAGATACTTGTGCACTCATTTTTTTTATTTTTTGTGTACATCACTAGGCAGCTGTCAGGTATGTTCTGACCTAAGTCTGAATTTAAAGGAGTACCAGAAACCGTTCCCATGATATAAACTATTCTTTTTTCAGAGCTGCATCTTTTTCAGGCCTGCACTTCGGTTTTGATACATATCTGAATATAATTAAATTAGTAGCTAGAGTAGCAATGAAGGAGGACATATACACATTGAAAATGAAATTTATGATGAAGAAACATGCAATCTTCAGTGATTGCACATTAGATGCATTTGACAACCACTAAATCACACATGGAGTAGAGATTAATTCATTAAGACATCTCACTTCTGACAGCATGCCTGTGGGAAAATGGATTAATAATACAAATGGATACGAATTAAAAATTACTCCTGCAATCAGAACTAAGGGAAGTGAAGTATTGAAAAATAAGAGAAGACAACTCTAAATTGTCATTACTAACCTTTCCTAATAGTGCCTGCTATAAGAAATCCTTGAAGGCTAATTCTAAGAAGGAATCTTAAAGCTTGTCTGTATGTCTGAATCATGCAGCCAGTTCAGGATTTTATTTTCTTTTTTAATATATTTGTCCTTCTAATGTGTCACACTTTACATTTGTCAAATTAATGGGCATAGTGGGGATACTTGTTGAATAATAGCATTCAATACCATATTGAACAGACTGAATTGAAATTAAGAGTGTAGAGGATTGGACTGACAGGATTACTATAGATTAAACTGAGAAGTCTAAAATTGTTATTGCCTAGCTGTCTGTCTTCTCTGTCCTGCAGAGTTTACCACTCATAAGCTGGGACTGCTGAATGGCACATTTGCCCAACGCAATATATCCATTCATACAGATTACAGCCACTGAAATGCTATCACTGATGTGTGCTAAAGTATCTTCTGAAGTGTAAGCTGTGGCAATTCAGGGCAAGACACATCCCATCCTGTTCGGCAGTTCCTGCGCAAGATAGCAAACTTTTGAGGGATCAATCAAATAAACTGCATGGAACACTAACCAGATTAGCCATTTCAGTATATCTGCTACCACAGGTGTGACAAAAAAAAATCAGCATTCCTGTTTCATTTCTGAACTAGATTAGAGCTAATCTAGTACTGGCTTCTGTTTCCACATGGCAAAAGGTAGAACTAATTGGGGGATTTTTGGAAAGCTGTCAAGAGTATCTTGATATATCTTGTGCTATAAAGCATACCCAGTGCTTAACGGATTCATTTAAATTAAAATTGCGGGTGTATATGCAAGATGTTCCATGAGTTTCAGAATTTTCTGTAGCCCATTGCTGGAATATAAAAATAATTTGCTTGCCTTTCCCTTCTATTCTTATTCATAGTTTTAGAGATTGAAATTCTTAAAAATTACATCTGAGGTTTTCTTTGGCTTCTTCAGTTCTTCTAGATCTTTAGGTCTGTGGCCACTGGCTTTATAGCACTTCAGGTTGACTGAATATGGCTGACAGAGGTATAAATTTAAAGCTGGTGTGGTTTCATAGGGATTTATTTGTTTGTTTATATTTTCATTTTGGGTTTGAAAAGAAAATCCAAATAGATCAGTGGAGAGCAAGTCAGTAATTGTTCTCTTTGAATACCAAATATGGCAAATCATAATTCTATTCCTGAAGGACATTTGGCAATTCTTTATTGAGATATCATCAGTGTTACCTCTAGGTCATCTTCATGTATGAGAGGGCAGAAATTAAAGATAAAAAATTATATGGAGTTTTTAAATGTTTCCCCTTGTTAAAATGATAGGTCCAGTTGAAACAGTCTAGAGAAAAGGTTAAAAAACCCCAGCCAGCTGCTGTGGATGGAGTAGAGAAGGAGCACTGTCCAGTGATTAAGGAGATAAATGAAGACTTGACAAGAACGGGCTTACGTGCTTTACTATCACAGGCACCTTTGGGTAGATTGACATGCTTTAGTTTTCTATAAGTAAAACTAAAACTCAGTGAGGAATGTTGCATGGATAAACACTGAACTTACGTGGTTTGCATCTGTAATGGTAATGGTAACCTAATAAATACCTCATAGCAGAAGAACACTTTTAATCATTCAGATTCACTGATTTCACTCATTGTCACAGTCTCTGGAAGGTAAGGATACCTGTGATTCAGTTATTGTTCTTTTATGGTCTATTTAAAACATACTTATCCATTCAAGGCTGCATCTAAAATATCACAAATCTTGTGCATTTGAATTTTTATAACGGTCCAGATAAAGCCAGTGATCTCCTATAGGTGAGTAACAACACCAGGTCAACACACTACCCTGATTAAATCCAGCTCCCTTCTTTCCCCCAATTCTAGGAGAGTAAGGGGGTGTTCCAGCATATTCAGAGGTCAACAGTTGTGAGGTATTTTGGTATACAGGTGGCCCAAAGGCTGTTTCTGGAAAACTGCTCAGCTACCTAAAGAAGAAAATACATAGTACTACCAGTTAGCAGACTGGTAGGTAACAGACTACCACATCAGGAGGTAATGTGGAGTTTATGAACGAAGCATTCCTAGTTAACTCTCATTAAGGCTGATGCCTGTGTGGTGGGTGGGATTTTTGCAAACTCACTGTCCTCGTTCACGCTGATTGATTCAATGGCGAGCATGCACTGACCTTCAAGGCATTTTCCAGTGAGCCGTTAGTTTTTCAGGCTTCAGGAAAAGAAGAAAACTGGATTTTGTTTAAAATGTTTGGCTGGCTTCTATTAGGGGAAGGGCACATCTGGTCAATTTAATCACAGCATTTTTCTTTAGCTTTCCAATAGTATCTAGTTTCATACAGCGCTTTTTATCACTAGATTTCACAGAGATTTTACAAAGGGTGTTGCTATTATTTTCACTCTTATATAGCTGGGGTAACTGAGGAAAATGCAGGCATTGCAACTTTCCCAAAGTCATTGGGTTAGCAACAGTAGATCTGGAAATAGAATGAGGATATCTATCTCTGTGTGAGTTTAAGAATTCATATAACAAAAATTACCTTGTTATATACAGTAGATATTGATAAAATGCATTTGAAAAAAAAAGCTAACTTTTTATGTCTTAAAATTTTTGAAACACCTTTCAAAGAATCATAAATTTAACATTAAACAACTCAGATTAGTATTGTGCTTAGTGTATACATGGGATTACATGGTATGAGGTCTGAGAATGTCGGTCCTTGAGATGAGAACATTAATCAGTGTGTGGATAAGATACAACTACCTGTAATTGTTGGTATAGTGTTTTTCTTTGGTATTTCAACCCAAATACAATACTATTTTATTATGTATTCCAAAAACTTGAAGAAAGTAATGCAGAAACCCCCAGAAGCACATAGAGGAAGAAATGTCCGTCCAGAAATTCTGGTTTGGTCAATAGAGGAGGAGAATGAACTATAGAAGAAGAAACTTTCCATGTCCCTTTTTTTTAACTTTGTGTGTGGCAGACATACTTCTACTGCTATATGAATAACAATTTGAAACCGTCAGAGGTATCAATAGTTACATGAGCGAAGTTGTGTGCCAGTCTGTTGGTGCCAGCCAGCTGTCTGCCAGGCTTTTGGTTCCAGTGACTGACCTGAGAGAAGGGCTAACCAACCGCACTGGAGACAGGAGAGACAGAAGTAACAGAAGTACAAAATGGCTCTGTCGTACCCTGCCATACATGTCTCTGTACGCCTCGGCAATCATAAGCCGCTGTGAATTGCAACGCTGCGTTAGGATATCAATCAACACATCTTTTTCACAACCTGTAAAGGAAACACGACACAGACTCTAAATTCAGAAAGTGTAGTTATTTACTTACATTTGTGATTGTTCATGTTTTGTTCAAGAACATTAACCTAAATTCTTGAAAAAAAATAGATCAACAGATTAATATCCCACTGGTATTTACCAGCATCAATTATAGTTACTGTGCTTATGTACCTTTCACTTGCTGGTGTAATACCAGCAAAAAGTGAAGTAGTCTGTTATCAGATGCATCACCATCTCTCTCAAGCTCAATGGATTTGAAAGCATCAATAAAACAGATAGAGGCTTTCATGTATTCAGAACTACGCACACTAGCAGAATTTGTGGCTGAGCCTGGGAAGTCATATTTGTATGCTCTGTTGATATTGATTAAATTGTCATTTCAGGATTAGGGATCTCTTTTATAAGGATGACAAATTATGGTCAGACCATTTGTTGAAAAGCTGAAAGATAGATATTTTCAGAAGAACTATATAAGTCATGAAGTTTTAAAAAATGTAGTATTTTAACCAATTTCCAAGGGCATTTTATTGAAGGTTACCTATGACCTTTTGCTTGATAGCTAGAGCATACTGCTAAACTTCTATAATGAATCAGTATTAACTGCTTGTGAAAAAAAAGATAATGATTAACATATTCTGAAAATTATTCTATCATTTTTGTATTTTTTTCCACCCCAAAAGATGGGTCTTGGTAATTTTAGATGGCTCAGCATTTTAATGACATTCCAGCATAACTATATCTCCAAGTGCAAATCAATTGACTTTATCACACTTGCAGCAGAGATGAATTAGGCTAGAAAGCATGGGGATCAGCTAGCATCTGAATGGAGTAGGGTAGTATCATGTTTCTACCAGTCATTGTTAGATAAGCACATATATATATATATATATGTTACAGATACACATTCTGTACCTATTACAGCTTTGGTAGGCAGATTTTATCATACGATCTTGTCGTGGTTTAACCTCAGTTGGCAACTAAGCACCACGCAGCCGCTCGCTCACTCCCCCCCACCTGGTGGGATGGGGGAGAGAATTGGAAAAGCACAAGTGAGAAAAACTCGTGGGTTGAGATAAAAACAGTTTAATAATTGAAATAAAATGATAATAATAATAATATGATAATAGTAATACACAAAGCAAGTGATGCACAGTACAATTGCTCACCACCCGCCGACCGATGCCCAGCCAGTCCCCGAGCAGCGGCCCCCCCGGCCAGCTTTCCCCAGTTTATGTACTGAGCATGATGTCACATGGTATGGAATGTTTCTTTGGCCAGTTTGGCTGTGCCCCCTCCCAGCTCCCTGTGCATCAGTCGGTAGAGCATGAAAAACTAGAAAGTCCTTGGCCAGTGTAAGCACTACCTAGCAACAACTAAAACATCGGTGCATTATCAATTTTGTTCTTGTCCTAAATCCAAACCACAGCACTGTACCAGCTACTAGGAAGGAAATTAACTCTATCCCTCCCGAAACCAGGACAGATCTCTAACTGACATTTTCCATTTTGACACAAATGTAATGATATTGAATACTTTTCTTTTTAAGTTGGCAGAGGAAGTCTGAATTTGCTCATTATACAGGTTTAGTTCTCCTTCTTCTGGATTATCTCACCGCAATTACACCAGCTTTTTAGCATGACACTGATTTAACATCAGTCTGATTCTTTTCCATCAAACTCACAAAACAGATATATTACTGAAACTCTGTGCATAAGGATTTCTTTTTACTTTTCAGAAAATAATTATCACTAGGAATCTGTACAGCTTATATGGTCTCTACAGCAAAAACTAAGAAGGGTTCAGGAAGTATTTAAAAACCTAAATAACTTCATTTGTTTGTGTAATACCACTGGTATCAGTGAGACAACGTATGTGGCTGAACCTCCTCACAAGAGTGAATGTCGTGTGCAAGATTTGGGGTCAGGGGTGTCAGTGCCTGTAAAGACTATGGAGACTTAAACTCCTCCGAAGCTGGACTTTGTATTTTGCCAACTGTCCTTGAAATTAGAACTTTGTTCCGTGTACTTTGATAGGTAAATTAAAAGTAAGGTTAATGCACTTGTATTTACAGTATTAAATGAAGAGAATCATCTCTGTGTTGTGTTAGCAATGTTGCATTAAAAGTATTGTTCGAAGTCTAGCAAAATGTTTAAAGCTTTTCATCTGTAGCCAACTTAATCAAAAAGATACATCAGATTCCTTTTGATCAATAATACCCATTTTGGTTCATTTGACATTAAGTCTGAGTCCTCACATTTCCATTAAAGAAACTGAAAACAGAATGCAAGATTCGGTGCTGTACAGCCTTGTGAAAAGCCCAAAGGGTATAAAAATTTTGATACAGACAACAATTTTAATGTGAGGAAAATGCTTCAGATAGTAAAAAAAAAAAAATAAAAAAATTCAATATTCTGACCCTAAGCAATATCAACAATGTTTAACAAGAAAACACAAAAATCTGAACGGAGAAAAATGCTTTGGTGAACAAAAATTTTTTTTGTATATAGGCTGAAAGCAAAAATTGCTCCTGAGTGAAAGATAATAAATTCTTTAAACTTTCTACTCCATTTATTTTTATTTCTTGATGACTGATTAAAAGACTTAACAGTCCCTGGTAGTAGTTAATTATTGAAGTTGCAATTAAAAACCTTTCCTTTGTTGGCCTTCACTGTAATGCATAACACAGAATTCTGTTTTCTTTTTCTTATTTTCTCAAGGAAAGCATTCATTACTATAGGTGTTGGTATAGATTCTAGGTTAATCTTAATCACATCTTAGTTCCTGTAAATGCAAATACATGATTTATTTGGACATCACCAGTGTGTCTTACTGTGATACCTTGAAGAATCAACAGATACGTGGTGACACTTTTATGAGTTTTTATTTTGCCTATTGCTTGGTATTTTATGAGAGCTTTCTGAAAAAAAAAAAAAAAGTGTTAAAATCAGTCAAGATACTCACTAATTCCCTGTAGGGCTCCTCTTAGCAACTGGGCATCCGTAATAGGGTTAAAATTCGGAGCGGGAAAAATCGTTCCTTGTGTCTGCTAAAGGAGAAAGCAGCCTTTAATTGAGGTGTTTTACATCTAGAACACTGCATATATAGTTCTGTTGAAAACCAACAATCATAACATTAAATTGTCTTTGCTTCATGGGGAACAGTATGCAAAGGTTTTAATTTATGAAACAGAACTTAAACTTGCAGTAAGCCCTGGGAATAACAGACCATATTTGAGGAAGTTGCCCCTAGCATGAGTTAGGCCTGAAAAAAAAATTTTTTTTGCACTAAAATGTAACCACATTTTTGTGTCTATCTATCTCTTTCCTAATCTTTTTTTGAAAATATTATTTTATCTTTCAAAGTTAATACATGACATCCCTGACAGTCTTCAAAATCTATTTCTCATGGTACTTGTAATTTGAAAGGACTAGTGAGAAAATGATGAATGAGATGCATAGGTTGCTTACAAACCTAGTTATTTTTTAGAGAAATGATGTTACTGCTAAGTGTGAGGTAGCTTTCTGATATAACATGTAGAAGGCAACACCATTTTTCTAGTTGCTTTGTAACAGATTAAATTACTGTCGGTTCATTCTCAGTGATACTATATTTAATGTATTTTTTCTTATTCTTTTTAAGAAATCTGTGAATAATAAACAGAACTGATGTACTCATTTTAATAGAATCACAGACCCATATGTACACAGAATAACATAACTGAGGTTGAAAGGTACTTAGCCCTGTCCTCTAGTTAACCTCTTTAGTTCCTCTGAGGATTCTACCTGCTTCTGCAGATGTACCAAGTATAAAGGTTATCTTTTATGATGATTCCTGGTCTCAGGAAATTATGACATTAATGTCATTAAAATGACACTGTTAACTTGAAACTTACATTTCAAGGAAAAATGGGATATATTTTGTAAATGAAAATGGAGTATTTTTACGAATGCCTCCTAGAGTCAAGATCTACACTGATTACACTAATTAATTTGTTTGTTTGTTTGCTCGCTTTACATACACTTGAAAGCCTTTTATATGTTGTGCCTTCAGTAGTAATGACATACACACACAGATTTTGTGTATGGCCACTAATCATGCTTCCCTGGTTTGCAATTTTAGCAAAGGAATTAAAAAGTACCAAGCAGAATTGGATATTTTAGATGAGAAGGAAGACATAATTTCTTGTTATGTTTGATCATTACTTGAGACCCACCAAGAAAAGGTAGGAGCAACAAATTGTCAGCGGCTAAGTGAGGAAAAGAATGTATGGTCAGAAATTTAAGATTTTAAAAGGAGTTGTTACTTTAAAAAGTACTAACAGGGCAACATGCCTTCACACAAAGAAGAAAGTACTCACCAGTAGACAAATATCCTTCTGCTGTTTGTTCATCATTTAAATACAAGGTTCTACTTTTACAACTGAACATAAAATACGTAGTGCCTTTTTACTCATTAAAACAATCAGGAAAATAATGAGAAAAAAAATCTTTTGGAGATATGGAGATAAATAGCGGCCATAGAGAAGACAATGAAACCATGCCAATTTTTGTAGGTTAATATCTGTTGTTGTATCTAAAATGAATTCCAGACTCATCCTTAAGATATGCTCCATCCCATCTTCCTTTGTCAGTGTGGGAATTGTCTGTGTACCCTGGGCCTCACTTGTCTCTTAACCTCTCTCTAGGGTAGGGCTCTGCAGGTATTAGCCTCAGAAATTGAGAGTTTATATCCTCATGACATCCTAGTTACTGGCAGTACACATCTTCAAATGTCGTTCACCAGAAGTTTCCTAGGCATGTGCCATTTGCAGCAGTGGGAGTTTGAGTGCTGTTTGGCTAGGTGGTACATGAGGCTCCATTTCCCACCCCCATTGCTAGCATGTCAAATGATGCTGACCTTAGTTCAGTCATCATTCTCCACAGCTCAGGAGACAGAAATGCTTGAGCTCTGTGGCTGGTCAGCTGGACAAACCACCCCAAAGCTTGCTAATAAACAAAATCACTATGGAAAGAAGTGCTAGAAGACGCTGTTAGCATGCAGAATCAAAAATATATATTGATATATGCTATGAGTTAGGAAAAGAAATTTAGCTTTCTGGCTCTGTAATTCATGCTTCCCAAAATGTCTGAGACATAAAAAAGCTCATCAATCTTAAGAGGAAAACCAAAACAAATCCAAAACCAACACATCATCAAATATTATGTTAGGGTTGCCAAAACAGAAAACACTTTGATGGGGGTAATAGTAAATGGTAGGATGCAAATAGAATGCAAGTAACAGATATGAAATTCAAAGACTTTGAGCCTGCATTTTAAACCAAAGGTGGAAAGCATAGGCATATCTGGCATTTGCTCTCTGAACCTGTCACCGCCCTCGCTGATCAGAAGAGTGGCGGTGGGGAGGAGAGAAAATGTAGGACGTGTGCATTTATTCAAACCTAATTTAAAATACTGGTGCTGGCTCTTCATCTCTGCATCAGCTTTGAACAGGTTCGATTCCCGTAAAGATTAGTTATCTCAAAGTATTTCCTTTCACACATTTCAGGTTTGTGGTGTCACAAAATGAACCACTAAGTCACTGATCTTTTCAGCATTTATGATACTTGCACTAAAATCAGAAATAAGTGACTGACTTACTTAGTGAATGCTTTAAGGGTGGATTCCTGCATAGTCCTTGGAACAAAAAATGAGTAAAAGTGGTTTTCGAAGTAGATATCACCTCTCAGTCAGAATGGAGGCAAGCATTAATAATTTCTGAATATATATCTTTATTCGTAAAACAGTCAAAAAAAAAAGGGCCTTGCATGAATGCATATTTGCAAAAATATAATGGAGGGATTGATCATAGAAAAAATGGTTTTGAATATACAGATTTGCAGGCTTGCAAATTTTTGACCAAAAAACTCAACACAGCCCTTGTAATGTATCTTTCAGGCAAAATGGATTTTTGAATGTGCTTGAT